CCTCACTGATCCAGGCTGTGGGAACCTGGCTAAGCAGCTAAGTGTGCAAGACATTGTGAGGACAGACGGGTGGGACTGCTCAAAAGTCAGGGCACAATACAGTGTGTTGTGATGATTCTCCATGGGAACAAAACCTTTCTTACTCAAAAAGATGGAGGAGAGTTTTCTGGCCTTTAGAATACATGGCTTCCTCAGCAACAAGAAAACATGTCAAAGCAACATCAGGAACTATTAATGGAATTTCAGAGGACAATTATGCTTTCACTTGATCTTTTACCAAGAATATTTTAGAGGGTAGGGAGTAAGGTATATTTACAAAGCTTCTGTAGCTTAACTAGTCTTCAATAACAATGCAGTATAGAACCACAAAAATTTGTTTAAAATTTAACACATAGTAACATCAAAACAAACAAATGTTTCCATGGAGACAACTACCTAAATAAATGCTCACAATGGATCCAAGGCGTGACGTCATTCAGTCCTGCCTGCAACCATAGTAACATGCCAGTATAAACAGAAATATTTTTATTTTTCTATCTAATAATGTCATAGAATCAGCAGTTTTATGGCAGTGCTTAAAACATATTCTTGCAGTGCTGAGTGGTAACACTTCTAAAATAAGAGCAGAGGTATTTATATCAGGGCTATTACTATTACCATGTTCACTATATACAACAAGTGGAGTATGTGTATGGCATAGCTAACATATCAAATTTCCCAGAGCAGTTGTTGACCCCACTAAACAAAGAAATTTAAGTTCCTAAGGCAACACGCTGGAATGCTAGTCAGAGATCCGTAGCATCTATTATTCTTGGGTATTCTGCTTCCTTAATACAAAAATCCCAAAGTTCTTAGACTGTTGTGTCTCACTGTCTTGCTAGAATAAGAAGAATTCAGCCACGTGTTGCTTTTCATACCAAATACAGAATCCTTCAGTGCCCTTCTCCCGTGTCACCAACGTACCTGCTTTCTCCAAGGCAACAAGATTCACTAAATCCATACTTGCACTCTGCAAGCGCAATACAAAACAAACAGCCTACAAATTTTTGCAACTCTGGAAGAGTACCAGAAAAAAACAGTTAGTTAATGAAGAAATTTTCCAAGAAGGCAGGTAAGTGTTTCAGCTACTAAAAACATATCCATGGAATACCCACTTTCTTGAAACCCATGAATTTTCAAATGCTATTGCATGTCTGCATGCTTCTAAACTCAGTAGGCCCAGATGGCATTATCACTCTTCATTTGCAAAATATAAAAGAAAGATGTCTATATAACGTTCAGATAGCATGTGAAAAATCAATGTTTAGAATGATCTAATATTACTAAGATATTTATACTAAACCCCTATACTTTAGCAGAAACCTGAGCTACAGGGAAATAGAAGATATTATCATTACAAAAAAAAAGTGGGAGTACCACTTTCGGCACTGTCATGCAAACTTCAGATACAGTAATTTATGAAAACTTCCATTCTCATAGAATATAACTGTGACTTATCCTTGTCTTCAAGTATGGCAGTAAATATATGGACCAGTTAAAAGTTTCCTAGGAAGTATTTTCAGGCTTTTTTTTAACAATCATATGAGCAGGATTTTCAGAGAAGAGGTTGCTTCATTTTCGCCATTTAAAGAGAAAGAGTTATCCTGGTACCAATCAGCAAAAGAGATTTTTACGTAACTTTAAGCAAGTAACTGCTTTGAAATTAAAATCTACCCTGCAACCAGTGTTACTGTTGTATGAAGTCCAATGAACATACGAAGGAAGGAGTACATCATCTCAAGTGTTGAATGTGAAACTACAAAAAAAGTTATTGCATAATTACATTTACAGTAATGTACACTTTTGTTGCTGCATTGTTTTACAGATTTCATTCTATAAGATATGGCAGAACTTTGTAATTCACTCTTCACAATTTCTTTTGCTTTTCCAGGTGCAACACGCATAGAAAGTTAGCAATATTGTAAGAGATGTCTTTACTGTATGTTTTATAACCTAAAAAAAAATAAATTACTCTTCTACTTATTACAGAAACTGCAGTCTATCCCAACTGTATTAATGCAATCCAAATATCTGGCATAAATGTAGGTGTATTTTCTCCGCTCTCTAGGGATGCAAATTATAAATATTCATACATGTGGCTACTCTCACAAGTAGCTTTTCATTTCAAGTAATTCCATTGCAAAATTCGTTGTTGCTTCACTTCTCGTATTTTCTGTGTTGACAATAGAAAGTTTTTAAAATAGAAAAGAAAAAAATTAGGCAGAAAAAGAATCTATTAAATCAATTTTTAACAAACAACAACTTAGATTACAATCCACTAAATTCAAAGGATTTATGAGACCCTTAAGAACTTACAAATTACTGTTAAACAAAAATCCTTGCAGTGAGGGAAGAGATCACCCAGTTTGCATGTTTTCTTACCAAAGAATGCAATTCTAGCAATAATTCTTTCATGTGTATTACTGTGGATTCTTTGCATTTGTTCTTCTTATCCTGAAGTACATATAAATGTTGTGCTTACATGAAGGTTTCAGTGGACCTTTTATGCAAGATAAATAGACAAATTACATTTCAGCCTGACCTGACATCCTCACACAGAAAGAAAAAACATCTTTTCTTATTTGTACCAAAGGCTCACTGGAATTTTTTCAACTTTTATAACAACATTAAACTTAACTAATCTCTGAAAGATAGACACAGCTTTGAAGAAGTATCGAGGACTGCTCAAAAGTTTCAGAAGTTTTGTTCACCTGCTTTGGCGGAGCTGGAGAGGGGGTCTTAAGTCTACAAAAATGTTCATTACTTCAGAGATAAAATCTCTCCTGGAGCAGAGAAAGTTACCAATCAGAGAATACAACATTATCTTTCAGTAGCTCTTAGGTAAACATATCTCTTATTAATTTCCTTGTTACTTTACCCTGGCTATCAGCAACATGTAGTTCCTACCTATTTTGCCAGTATCTGTAGCATAATAATAAATAAAGACTGGGAAAGTTAGCAAGACAAAAGTGGGCTTTATACACAGTAACTCATAAACCCAAAGAATTTCTACTAGATTAATTATTTTCTAGTGTCTGAACAACAAATGCCATTGTCTTAAACTCCAAGTACAGCTGGCTAGAAAACAAACCCTGTTGATGAAGAACCAACAGAAAATACGTATGGAAGTTTTAACACAATGCTAAATGGCACTTGTAGTTGGGTTTGACAAACACATCTTCTTGTCTTTGTTGTGTTCCCTGGCCAGACTACAACTGCCAAAATCCACCAGCCCCATCTCACTGACCATAAGAATCCCAGGCTGAAGTCCATCTTACGAGACAGTGGTCACAGGAGAGAGGTCTGAGAAACTGCTGAGCTAGCACTCTCCCCAGAGACAGAGACAAGAAGCCCGGAGCTGAGTTGAGACTGCAGAACAGCAGCAAGGGCATATGTTGACATTTCCCTGGAGCCTCAGGTACCTGCCACCTCAGAACTCACTCCTGTGAAACAGGACTGGATTCCTTCTACCCCAACAGTCACAAAAACCAATACTTCTTTCTATCTGCTAATGTTGCACATTTTTAATGCTATATCATGGGGTTGTCTTACCTCTAGTGTGCCCAGAAGCTGATTTGAGAAAATAGCACTAAGACCGTACCTATCATTAAAGGAAATAATAAGACAAATTCTTAAGCTGATGAAAGTCAAAGAACATTTGAAAATAAATGCCAACGCTGCCGATCAAGAAAGAAACAAAAGTCTACAGCCTAAACATACATTTCAAATAAACCAGTTCACTGATAGTATATCTAATTCCGGCAACACAACTTCCAAGAAAATATGAGTACGGTCTCAAAGTGAAAGTGGACTGATACAAGATACATTCTTACTGAGTAAGAATGTGCATATATAGAGTCTTCAATTGCCTAGATAAGATCCCCAAGGAGAAAAGAAACAAAGAAAGAAATTAATCAAATAAGTCATTCTGTGTATGTTACTGGACAACTTCCAAGACTGTCTTTTCTTCTCTGCCTTTCTCCGCTTTGATGCACTCAAAAGGGCCAGTGATTGTAGCAAGATTTTCCAACTACCCTTGTAAGCAGCTCAGTTTGCATATCCTCCCCAGCACTACAACACAGTTGAGAGCACAAGCCAAGTAAGTGGTACTACAAGCTACAAGTACAATTAAAGGACTCCTTTAAAAAGCATGACCCTCAACACAATGAGGTGTGAGACAATTTAAACAGCTACTGCGGTAACAAAAAGCAAAAAAGACAAGATTATTATATCAGACAACAGGGGAACGGGGAAGGTAAAAAAAATTCAATTCTACATAAAAAACAAAACTAGAAAAATTATTTGGGCTTCATACAGAATATGCCAGAACAGATTAATATCTTCTCTTAGATTTGATGAGTTTCTGACCTAGCTTGCCTAGGTTTTCAGGCTGCAGAGAAAGATCCACTAAAGCGCCAGTCTGGTCACAAGAATAAGCATAGACCACAAAGACAATCCTAATCAATTCATCACAGCCATCGGTCTCCACCAAAATTCACCATCAGCTTGGCATAGCCCTACACTTCAAATTTGAGTTAGCGTTGTGCTGGACATCAGGACTCTTGTTAGAATATTGACTTTTAGCACATATTCCACTTTAGCCTCAGTCCTCTGAGGCCAAGCTTTGGCAAGATCATCCTGACTTCATTCAGATATCCTTCAGAAAACACCGACAGCACTTACTGCAGTTTCTTGGAATAGCCTGCATTTGTCCTGATCACACCATACCTGCTTGTATAGTATAACACCTGTGAAACTGCAGTCAATTTAAAATAGCAGGTCATAAGCTGAAAGCCATATCTTCAGACAAAGCAATAAAATTTTGTAAAGGAACATGAAAGAGATCAATTTTGACAATGACAAACAGTGTCTCACAACGTCTGTAAGCAACAGAAGGTAAATTTAGATGATATCTACAAAATGTGGGGGAGACAAGGAAGTTATGGCAGAAAAGCACTTACTTGATTTTACTGAAGACGATGTCAACATCTGTGGTTGTTACGTTCTTCCCATCTATCACATGACAGTCTTTACACAGCTTTGACCAGTTCTTCCCGTGCATTTCTTTTCCTGTGGCTCTCGTATCACCATGGACAGCAAATTTTCTGAAGGCCTCTTCCAGAGCACTTATTTCTCCTGCCGTAGCTCCCTCATGGGAGTTGGTTGAATCGGTGGATAAGCGTTTTGCTGGCTTGGTTGATTTGTCAGCCATTGTGCTACAAAGAAGAGGAGGGCAAACTCATTACATTAATTTGCACTAGTTTACTTTCTGTCAATCTACATGCTATAGTCATGTCACAACATATGCAAAATAAATGGTCTATAAAGTTAGCAAGAACTCACTGCCCTCTATCACCAAACATCAGTCTAAACATAGAACTAGGTAACTCTCTGCCCATGTAGAAAAAATTCTAGCATTATTAAAAAAAAAGATAAGGAAAGAACGTTCCAAAATTGAGCACAAACCTAGTTTCACCATCATTGCATCAGCCAACAAGAGAACACGTTTGTTTCCTTTTTTTTTTCTTAAATGGCAATCACCACAGTCACTCCACTGATTTGAATAAAAGTATGCCCTTTACATTGTAGGCATTACTATCAACTCGTCTTTCTGAAGGAACAATAAACATCCCTTTATTTTCTGGACTGTGGCTTCTTTTTTTTTTAAACTGAAAAATCAAATATTTTGAAAGTGTAGCAAAAATATTAATGTTATATTATGTAAGGACTAACAAGTAAGGCGGCCTCAGAAATGCTTAGGCAAGGCTCTCTTGTTAACAAAACCATTCAATTCTCAAGTTTAGGCACAAAGAACTGTAGCTGTGGAATTCATTTGGAAGGAACACATTCACGATGCAGGAGCTCTGAGAAGGGATGGCATTACTGCAGAGAAGAACTTTCAGACTACCCTATGTACATGTAGGGTAGGTTTGTCTTTTAAATGAAACCTAAAACTGAGCAACAGAACACCAATGCTATTTTCAGGTGTCTTCATAAACAAACAAAAAAACCCTAATGTGCCAGAAGCAAGTCACAGAAACCTCTGCCTTCTGCCCATGCACTCTTCACTTGGCAGAAGTAGGAGGCACTGAAAAGTCTAGGCATAGGGTACACTGTCTGCGTGTCCCAACAGTTGCATGCAGACTGTTGCCAGACTCGCATCTGTGGTGCTGCTACAAATTTTAACCCATGAAGAGGTGCTTCAGGTATCAGAAATTTGGCAAATATTAAATAAGTCCACCATACTTACTTTGGCCTTTCTTCTAAACTCCAAGCTGTACATGGGATGTGATTAACATATGCAGAGATTGGTATGTATTTCTAGTTAGGGTTTTATTTCTGCATCTGATAAAAAGTTCCTTTGGCTTATATACTATACATCAACACAAACACCTCAGCAATGGAAAGTTCTAAAATTCTACCTCTTCCAATACTGTTTAACCTCTGTCACTTGAACAACTACAGCATACCCTTTCCTGCACACTACAACAGAACTAACCATAGCTACTTGCTATGCAGCAGCTATTGTTAAGCTTTGTGATTAGAAAGAATCTTTTAATAAAAAACACACAAATGGACCTTTGTCCTTTACGCTAGAGCAAATGGAGCATGGTCAAAGCACTATTGCCCATTTTGAAAACATCCAAGTAAACATTTAAAAACCTTGTTATATCTTAAGCCTGGGGATCTTTCTGGGTTTTTTACACTGTCAGCATGAGTTTTGGCCAACAAACCAAAATGTTAAATTAAAATTAATGCAACAGGAATTTACTAACTGTAGCCTGAGAATTATATGTGCACCTATGAAATAAAAAGAAAAGCACAAAGGGGGGAAAACCAGTTTGAAAATGTCAAGTTAATTAAAAAGTTTAAAAAGTAACCAATTCCCATTTCTATTTCTTTTGCACCCTGCCTACTCTCCAAAGAACAGCAATTTTACCTCAAAAAACTTATCTGAAAGCATCCCAACACAGAAACTTGAAAACAAAAGGCATGCACAGTAAATTGTAAGCTACTACAAATATTACAGGTGGATATACTTTTACCGAAGTCAAGTCTAGACTAAACAGTTTCATCAGACTATACACATTCTTTTGCTACCAAAAAAGTAGGGAGAGAATGAAAGAAGAAAACAAAAACATCGCTGGCACAATCTATACAAAATAGTATTTCATCAAAAATCATGAAGTACATGATGTACTTTTGTCTTCAAGGAAGCCTGACTTCCAAAAGCAGAAGGTCTTCCAAGTTTGTGCCATTTCAAATCAACTGGATCTGGAAAACCGAGTCAGAAATTTTCCCAGCTAACACTAACGGTCTAGAGAAAGAAAGAGAGTACAGAATAGCAAAAAGCTAAGTGTGTATAGGATACTAAAAACATAAGTTTCCATCGCACACAAGTAACAGAACAGAAGAAGGTGGAGATTTGCCATAATAATGTATGTACAGCTCGTGTTATTTGGTAATTTTATCTTGTGCCAAATAAATCAAGAGATTTTCAGGGACAGCTCCCTCTTGCTCTTAGCAATTCTCTCAAGAAGCTATACTCAGTAAGAATATCTTTGAAAGGTACAACAATCGCACAGTTTACAAGCTATAAACAAGAAAATATCTGTGCCACTCTGTCTCATCCGAAATTAGAAAAAATAACCATGTGCCTACATTTTTAAGTATCTCCTGAACAAAATCTTTAGCCACCATCAGTGTCTTTCTGGCCAATTTTGCTTAGTGCTATGTTGCCTAGAACCAGAACTCAACTTTGCACAACACAGCAGAATCACGTTTTAAAAAGCAAGTAGTGATTTCAAATCATGAGCAAAAAAATTATGGTTTTCTGAATTGTGTGATTTTTAAAATGATACGACTTTTTGTCCATACTACTGTCTTATACAGTTTTCGATATGATAGCTATATCAATCAAAAATATTTTTTACTTACTTTTGGTAGCTAATAAGCATGTATCAATCTTTTACAGGAAAAATGCTTAAAGGAACATATTTCACGCTGAGAAAGACAGTTCACTTCCAGACTTAGTTCTCCCAGACATCAATAAATAAACTTTGTATTGGGGTGTTTTGAGTAGTTCTGGATTAGGGGGAACAGACACACTCTACAGAAAAGGCTTCAGTTTTGAATGGTGAAACTTGCTATGCAACACAGACTCATTTCAAAGAAATCCTCCCCGTCTAAAGCAGAAGGTCAAGGATAGATTAAAACCAGGGTTCTGCTGTGGTTGCCAAAAATTATCATGGGTATTCCTTCCCTTGTTGAATCATAATTACAGTTTACTTCTTAAAATTCCACATAATGGCATGAAATTTACTAAAAGGAAGCTACCTGGATTTATGAAAATACTGACCTCCTCTCGGCTTAAACTTTTCCTTCTTAACACCACAAACAACACACTCTGAAGGGAAACATATTCATTAACATTCTATAATTAGAAGGTAAAGAATTGCACAACACAGGATATGAAATCAGACTTTTAATGGAGTCAGCTCCTTCAACTTTATTAAGTGATTAGAGACAAGGAAGGACATCATGCCATATTGGAGAAATGATCTCTCCAACAGAAATACAGAATAACTTGTTTGACAAAAATTCAAGATCAAATGCCATTTTGAGTCTTCTTTACCCTTTTTTCCTGGATAAAGGGATCAAAAGGCGCTTGCTAGATTCTGCTAGAAGTAAAGATTAGCAGTAGTTTGCTGCACGGCCACAGCAAGATGATAGTGATAAAAGAAAGTGACTACTCTAAAATACCAATTCTAAAATTCACTAAAACAAAATTAAGCCGCTGTTCAAAAGCGTGAGCTGTGTAGATGCCAACTATAACAACTACAGCTAACCAAAAATGCCTTTCATCACCGTCCAAAAAGTCTAATATGTACACAATTAGATAATACTAATTCCCAAAGCCAGCAGAAGGAAGAAAGGTGAGACTAGCCACCGATCCCGTCCTTTCCAAATACTGCTGGCTCTAACCTAGCAGGTCCACACCACCAAAAGCAGCCCTATAAGAAAGGGGTATAAGCAAATGCTAGAGTTCAGTAGGTTTGTAAAAGAACAACTGTCCCAAAAAAACCCTGGAGTTTCAGAAACCCACAGAATACTTAGACAATTAGGTGATGTGTTATGAACTGCTATAGTCTGTGTCATGCAGTACTCCTTTAGTACCATGAAAAAACAGTTTTTGTCCCTCCCCTCACTCTGCAGTAGGTAAATAATACAGCACATTATACAGAGATTAAGCTAGGGATCAAACTAACTGATGTTAGTCACTGATGTCATTACTAACTCGTGCTAAAAGAGACTGAAAGTGCAGATCTGTGTTCTCAGCACATGCCTAACCCATTAGAAAAAGTTTTCTAATTTCATCAAACTGCCTTTCAGCCAGAGACTACAATATATATACTCCTCTGCAGATAGACAGCTGGGAAAACTCCACTAGATAGAGTCATGTATTAATCCGAATTCTTCCCAAAAAGGAGGGGACAAGAAGTTATTGTTTCTGTGAATTGCAGTTATCGATTTTCTATAGTTGTGAGAATATCAGGTACATATAAATAGGCCCAAAGCCAACTGTAAACTCTACTGAAAGATTATATTAATTTACACTCTTTTGCTTATCCATATCCTCTCCAGGTGTCAACATATTGCAGGAATTCTGGTATAGCTTTGATTTAGATTTGTGGAATTGCTCTTAGAAGAATCCATCTATCAGCACCAACAAGGATGATCTGAAGACTTACTAGAACCTACAGTATTTTTCCCAACAATTTCAGCTTATGCAACTCTATGAATATGCATGTCTCCTACCTGGTCAGAATTCACCATGGCACCTTTTCTGCCCTGTCCCCGAGAACTAATTCATGGCTTATCCACTCAGGAGTTGCAGACAATTCAATATTTGTCAGAGAAGTTAGCATCACTGCCATGCCACAGAGAAACCAAAGCAGAGGGATGAAGAAATATCTGTTTTGCTGCCAGAGTTCAGAACGTAATGAGGATCCTGGGACCCATACTCTACACTGCTTTAATTACTGAAGCCACAGAAAGCAGGTACAGCAGTGTAAGGAGTGCTCTAAAGAGCCAACATTCTCTGACTCTATAAAGGAAATATAAATATAGTTTCACTAGCTGCAAATCTATTAAACCAGTTTAGGATCTCCATACCAGAAGATGTTTTTCTAAAAAAAAAAAAAAAAATCAAAAG